AATTTTCCAGCACTTTTTCGTATGTTTCTTTCCATCTTTAAATAAAGCCGATATATATTAAAAAAATATGTCTCCATTTAAAGGCGTTTTTAAAATCTATTTTGCATTTTCGTGATATCTGGCCCTCTCCACAAGCTGGTTTCCCAGTATTTTCCTAATTGAAAGCCCTTTTCAAATGAATTTTACATTTTCTTTATAGCTAAAGAACGCCTTCACGAGGTATTTATCCAGTATTTTCTTAATCCGTTTTACTGATTCGCTACCTTTAAATGTAGGTTTTTTTTGAGGATTTCGTATGCCATTATATTTTTTTTTATTAGTCGGCATCATTTTTGATTATTGTCTCATTCGAACGATTGACATCTTTATCATTCACAACCTATTTTTGCGGAAATTTCCGACACTTTTTTTGTCGCATATAAACCGTTTTCACCCTATAGCTGGCCCAATGCAGGGTACCTTGGAATAACTCTTAATTCCCTGCATTACGGGAAGATGTTATTTCTGTGCACTTAAGGGTATTAGCCAGCACTGAGTAATCTATAGGACATCAATACCTCTCGCATTTAAGTCACATTTCACTTCGCGCCAGTGCTGTCATAATTTTTTGAGCAAAATCAGCTAAATTGCAAAAAAATAAATCTAATAAAAACTAAATTCGAGCCAAAATAAGCTAAAAAACAAGCCGGTTTTAAAAACACTATTTTCTTGGTTAAATTTAAGGAACTATCTGTTTTAATGCTTTCATATAAAGTATCTAGAGTAACTTTTGATCTTTTCTTCTTCTCAATATAATTCGAAGCTGCTATTTCCATGTATTTAAAAGGATTTGTCAAATCAATTTTATTTTAAACCTCTTTGAATCGATGCTTTTTAAGGATATTTCAATTCCTTTCGCAATAGAAGTATTTTCCAATCACAACTGATTCTAATTCTTGATTCCTTTAGCCATTTGTAGTAATGTCCGAATGAGTTTAAGTCTTAAGTCAATAGAATTCAAATTTTAATTCCTCTTGCATTAAAAGCATGGTCCATTCGTTTTCGTTTACCAGTATTATCATAAATGAAATCTTAACAAGAAAAAACTAACTTCTAGCTTTGTGGATTCTGCCTGCATGTATATAGATTCGTCGTTTTTAAAAGAAAGCTCTCTTTTAAAGAACTACCAAGTATTTTCCGCATATTAAGTGTCTTGTTAAAAGTTTTCTCGACTTGATGGCCCTGAATACGATTATTTGAACTTAATTTGCATGCCTCGAGGCATCCTGAAGCATATAGAATAGAAAGCCACTTGAGACAGACAAGCCGAATAGCGAGCATATCCGTGGGCCTTTTCAAGTTTATGCAAGTGCCTAGCGCAGGATAATGACCATTGTTTTTGGTCGAATGCACGTTGTAGAGCACTCGACTGTGCCCGAAAAATGCCAACAAAGGACGAAAGGGGCCAACAATGCACACAACCTGAACGCTGGACAAATGTGTGTGTGTGTGTGTGTGATATGAACTGTAGGCCATACAAAAGACTCAGGCAGAGAACGCGACAATTGCCGACGGCTCTATTAAACATTAATAAAAATCGCATTAAATGTTAAACGCAATAAAACGCCTGATGCAATTTTCATGTATGCCGTGTATCGCCAGCGTGGCGGCACACACTTGAGTTTTTGTTACAAGGATTACAAACTCAAATCCACTTAGCACATGACGCTTGCTCGCTCGCAACCCTCGATGGCAACAACAACAACGACAAAACAGAAAGGGGCAATGTACCTTATTGTCTTCCTTTTTGTCAGCACCATTGTTGTTGCCTCGTCTAACGTTTAGCCGTTTCAGGTTCATTGTTGTCAGTGGTTGAAATTGCTGCTTCCTTTTTGTGCTCGCCTGCCTGCATTGTCCTTTACACGTTGCTGTAACATAATCCTCTTAGTCGCGGCAGCAGCGTCCAAGTACGTCATTCCTGCCATATTGCCATATTGCCATGAGTATTGACGCCTCTTATCTATGGGTGTGTTGAGCTGAAAATTGTGCTAAATGCTTCGCTCAATATGTTCGAAGGAGGCCCGTTTGACGGGGGGGCAAATGATTGATTGATCCACTGATCGATAGATCAATCGTTGTGGCGATCATAGCACGTCAAGTGATGTATTTTGTTAGAAAGCGATCTCAACAGCCATGTACTTGAATGCATAGCCACAATAGATTTTTGTATAAGTTAACAGCTGTTGACAAAAACCATTCTCTACACCATATAGATAATGAAAAACATAAGCGCTACTACTTATGATGAACAGTTTTTAAAAGAAACTTCAAGTCACTTCCTATAAACATTTAAAACTCTTTTACAATTGTGTTTAGAAAAAGGGTTTCTGTTAAGACTAGATGTGCTCAATCAAAAATTGTTTGAAAAACTTTTACTTTTAAAATAAAAGAACCCACGTAAGTTGAAATATTTCTACCATCGATTTTTCACCGTAGTGTGTTTTAGTAAATTTATAGTATAAGTACACAATTCAATTTCAAGTTTAATATTAAAATATTCAATTTAAAGTGTGAAGATATTAAGTGATGATTTGGACGTTGTTTAATTCACGCCACAGGTTTATTTTTTATAATTATAAAAAAAATTCCTTTCCCACTTCTTCATCTACTCTACTGTACTTAACTCTTTATTTTATATAAATTTTTATATATATATTTTGTATTTATATATATATATTTTTTTTGTATTGAACCATTTTTAGCGGAAAGTAGTTTCCAAAATCTTCTGCTATTATTAATTAATTATTTAAACGTTTTTTCTGCTTTTTATATGGTTTGGATCAATACGTATACTAAAATCGGGGGTTGGATCAGAAAAAATGAACAAACTCGTCCTTTCTCGGGCTCAGGAAAATCTGTATACCAAGTTTGGTTATTCTAGCTCTTATACTTTCGGAGATCCTTGCGTTCATACAGACAGACAGACAGACAGACGGACGGACAGACAGACGGACAGACGGACATGGCTATATCGACTCGGCTTGTCATGCTGATCAAGAATATATATACTTTGTGGGGTCTACCAAGCCTCCTTCTGTGTGTTCCATGTGCACTGGCACAAAACTAATATACCCTTGTACCCTTTGGGTACAGGGTATAATTAATTCTACTACTATCTCTCAGTGTAGTACAGACTGTAACTCATTCCCCTCTAAGTTGTAGGTGCATTTGCAGCTATATCCGATTTTTCGGAAACGGAAGAGCAAATACAATGTGATATGTAAATAGCGGCCGGGTTGGCAGAACCAGCTGAGTTTCCGTCTTAGCGGTTTGCGCAAACAAATAAAGGCCTAGGAACTGATACGATGCGATTCACGAGTACCCCATGGAGGGCTTGAGCGAGCAACTGAGACTTCATTTCGGCATTATGTAATCAGCAGCGAACAAGCTGCCTTTTGTTTTCTTTGTTAGTCTCAGATATTGTTGTTTTCTTTCCTTGTACAATTTTTTTTTTTTTTTTTGGTTTTTTGTTTTTACGACCTGACAAAAGAAAAGCCGACCAACGACCCCCAAGTAGTGCACAAAGCAGCCGAAAAAATTCGCTAGAAACCACACAAAAAAAATAAAATACTATAAAAAAAAAGAAACGCCACGCGGTAATGACAAATATTGACATTTCCTTTAGAGTGCGCTCATTTCTTTCCTCCCCTCTCTCTCCCTCTCCTTCTCTCTCATTCTCTAGGTAATTTTATACGTCGCGACGTTCCTTTTTGGAACAAATAGAACACGAATACAGAGCGTCAGAGCCACGTTTTGTGAGCGCACTCCTCATCAATAAATAGCTCGAAATGCGACCAGGGCTTGCCCAAATATAAATAAGTTGTATGCTAGCTGGCTGGCTGGTTGGTTGGTTGGTTGGTTGGTTGTTGATATATGGGAACATATATGTGGAGTATTGGACTTAATTGTGTGATGGGGCGGGCTGGCAAGGCGTTGCTAATAGATAAAAACGATCAGATTACTTAGCCGGCATTTCACACGCTACTTGCCACAAAAGCAATAAGCTTGAAGGGGCAGAGACAGAGGCAGGGCCGAGTGCAGAGACTACATACAATTGGTGGTCAACAACATTGTGGGCTCAAATGAGAATTGGAAACCTTTGCAACCGTCCAATGGTGGTTTATCAATAAAAATAATTAGCAGCCTTATCCAGAACTATAATTTCTATAACTATTTCGTTTGTTTTGAAATATCATTAATCAAACGGAATTGAAAACATCTCTCGCATATTCTTATACCTTTATATAATCTCTTGCAAATTACTTTTACAATAAATGAACTATTTCTTTACGCCATATTTATTTCAATAATTTTCTTTGGTCATTTAAAAAAATTATAACCAAAATCTTATCTGAACTACTTATGCCATCTGCTGTAAGCTAGTTTTTCGAATACCTCAAACATTATATCTTTTGAGGAAAACAGTACTAAATTCAATTAATCATTTGTTTCAGACAAAAAGTTGCATTTCTATAAGCAGTACACAACTTTTATGGACAGATACGGTATTATTAAAATATGTCGCAAACGTACTCCTACTATTATATTTCGTACAATGTAGTTTGAAGTTAATCGGATGAAAATTGTGGATTTTTCATACAAACGTTGGAGCCCGTTTCCCCCCCTTTGGAGGTCGAATTTTCCAAAAACCCCTTCTTAGTGCTCACTTTCACTGTGAGAGGGATCTTGTGTCCAAATTTCAGCTTCCTAGCTCTTACCTTTTAGGCTGTGCGTTGATTGCCATTCAGTCAGGGCAAACTGTTTTATATATAAAGCGATTTTTTTTTAATCTAATAAGACTAGTTTGTGGCAATCAACTGCTCTCGATATATGCTTCAACTTTAAGTACATTTATATTTTATCCAAATATCGTCTAATAAACCTACTAAGACACAATGTTATCCAAAACGACGGCCTATTCTTTTCAGTTTGTGAGTCAGTCGGCCAAATGATTTTTCTAATTTTTCTCTCAAAATATATTTATTATTAAGCTATGCTTTTGGTATTAAAAGCTAAAATATACACAAACAATTTTTTAATACACTAAAATTTTGTCAAATGCCAAATCGAACTTGGAATATTGTAGCAGCGTATCTCGTTCAGAAATTCTAAAAGACAGTTCAATAGTTAGTTATGGACTTTTGAAGTTTTTCTTTTGAACTCACCCGTCAAGCGATTTATTAATCGACTATCCCTTTACTCTGATATAGCTCGATGTATCAGCTGAAGATAATATTTAGTTCTCACCTTCTCATACACATCATTGCACCTTTCAGCCTCAATGATAAGTCGTTAATTTTTTCGATTTTGATAAATGCGTGGCCACGACAACGATTTTTAAAAGTTTATCAAAAAAACATTCAATTGAAATGTTTGTTTTTCCCCCGATTTCTGAACAAACCATTCATTGTTATTCCGCTTTTGAATTCTTTTCGGATTTTGCGTTTCCCATATACTTGTAGTGCGCCATTTACTAAAAATTTGAATTATCCGAACTGCTGTTGAAAATTCTAGTTGTTAGATCTTTAGTTCTCTTCTTCTCTTTCACATTACACTTGTTATGTTCTTCCAAAATTTTAAGTCGGAATTAGCGTCCTTTTGCTAGGAACTGAACTATTAATTTCACTTGAATTCACTTATAATTTGACTTCTGCATTTCTAGAGTCTGTGCGCACGTTTGTTGCTGCTGACATAGAATTGACGATATACACATTTTCAGATCATATTTGTGATCTTACCTGCGCCATTGCATCGGTTATCCTATATACGACGAATTTAGTTTTATATTGCAATCGATATTCACTAATTTTTGAGTGAAGTGAACAATTCTCCATAAAATTATACTTCTAGCATTTCTCAATTTCAAATATTCACATTTGAAAAATTAAAAAAAAACTAATCCACATAAATGGATAAATAATGCATTCATAGTCCATCCATTTGATTAGTCCCCAGTTGAAGATCATGCATCACCATGTGTGTTCGTTTGTTGCTGCTTATATCGGAACCATAAATATATATATATTGTTAAAAATCGGGTTTCTGAACTTACCGGCCACTGTATTAACCAACGAAAACATTTTGTAAATTGTTAAATAATAATAAGGCAGAATTTCTTGCCATTCCGTTAGTTTTTATAATTTCATAGAAGTTTGTTCTGAGGTTTTTCTGTAATTGTAATTTCCTTTCCTAGTGTAAGGTCTGTAAGTGTCTACAGATTTTTGAATCAGATTAGTCAGATTCCATCCCACTCGATATATAAATTGAAACTTACTTGTCGAGTCAACGTAAAGGAACATAAACTTTCAGCAACCAGTTTCGATTCACAGTCATTTTAGAATTTCGCATTATTTTTGAATATGTATTATAAATGGTTTTATATCCACTGTCTTCAATTCGTTATGTTTAAGCTCCAGTTATCATTTAAGTACCTCTCTTCTTAGTAGTACTCTCCATTCCATGTGCAAAAGAAATAGAGTCATTCTGTAGGCGTATCTGAATTTTGCCTTCAATTCGTATTGTACGCCTCTTCTTTAGTGACAGTACTACTTAGTGACAGTATATATATATATATATATATGTGTGTGTGTATGTATTTCTGTGTGTTAGTGCTGATATATAGATATGTAGATGAATTATGTTTGTATGTGTATTTTTATTTGTCACGTGTTGGCAAAGATTAAGATTTTGTTCGAACTTCCGAATTTGCTCTTAATGTCTGCATTTAGTGTCATATCTCTCGACGTTATCTCACAACGATTTATGTTTAGAAAGTAATAGTTTTGGTCCTTTACTTATATGTGTATGTATGTATGTTGTGTGTTGGTGCTAATATATAGATATGTATTCTCAGTAAACTCAGTAAATGTCTGTATGTATGAACGTTTGTTGCTGCCAAGGTAGAAAGTAAAACCTAGAGTTACATCTCTATTTTAAGATCGCACTTGTTCTCTTACCTGCATTATATGTTTTTTGGTGTCAAATCCCATGTTTTCTTATATGATGAGTAGGTATAAAGGTGTATATAGTATGGTCCGTTATCTATCTATTTAAGCAGTAGATAGTTATACATAAAATTATTTTTAATGTTGTACTCACAGAACCAATACCAAGTAATTATATGAAGTGTATGCTGTGCGTACGTTTCAATTATGCCTTTAGATAGGTGTATGAGGTATATCCAGTATATCCACTTTTCAACTCGTTTAAAAAATAAAAGTATTGCCAGCCTCCAATTCGTTTCACAGTGGAAGTGCTGCAAACAATATTTCTGATCTTGTCCGCACACTACACATAATACACATACCTGGAACTCAACTCCAGAGTATTATCCCTGGTGTGTCGGTAAAGGATTAATCCTTTGGAGTCAACTTCTTAGAATCAAATGCGTTTTAGTAAAGTGTTGTGTATAAAATGTAAACCTTAAAACTTTTAACTTAAACCTATAACAAATTAATTTTTCTCTTTCTGTTGTTTTCTTCCCAAAATCTAATGTAAAACTGAATAATTTGTGTTCAGGCCTCAGAACATTAAATTGACAGCGCAATGCTTGGCCTACCCAGTTAGTTCAATTTTATCAAACGTGCTAAGTACGATGGGCCAAATCGAACAAATTTTTAAACACAATTTATTAGTACTATGGGCGGCATAGCTGATCCAAGTGAGTCTTATTTTAGCCATGTATTTAGGTATAATCTGAATCAGTATATACGAAAGATATGATAGAGTAAGCGCTAAATACAACAGGTAGGAGGAAGTGTTATGTTTGTCCGTCTGAACTCCTAGAACTTTCCAACCATGACAGCTAAGAATGCTGAACTTAATATGTAGGCGTGTCTTATTCATATACTGAGCAAGTTTATTACAAATCGTATATAGAATAATTTATAGGAACGATCAGTGCAAAAATCACTCCTATTGGAATAACTATTTTGTTTTTAAAGGCATCCTAGAATAAGTTTGTACTAAAAAGTTGTGCACCTAAATATTAAGGTTTATGAAAATCGGCTTTCTGTATCATATTTATATATAGTAGCTGTCATAGGAAGGAGCGGTGCATACATTAATCTTAGTAGCACAAACTTTCTTTTTAAATTGCAATATGGTAAGAAAATCTGATATTTATATGTTTTTAATAGTGCCTCACCATAATCTGAAGTTTCATTCAAATATGTAGTATAGCTACCATAGAAGGCATTGGCACAGCAAGGTTTTTTTCAGTGGAATGGTTTTAGGGGCGAAAAAAGTGGCATCGAAGAGTCGGGCAGGAGCAAATTCTTAAATGCTTAAATAAAACAAATAACATAAACCCTATAAGCTTCCTGCTATGCGCAAAAAATTATGCACAAGCTAAACACTCGATATTTGACTACACTACACATTACTACGGGAAGTTCCATTGTTTTTTTATTCCGGCCAGTCTGTCTTCTTAACTCATTCGAAACCATATAAAAAAGTATGAACATCCTGATACTGTAGTACTCGTAGCAATGGTAACCACAACAAAGCATTTCGGTGCTGGCCCTCTTCCTGCTCCCCCCCATACTTTTTTTTGTGTGTCCTGCCTGGCCACTCCGTGTTCGTAATCTACACGTGGCTTCGTTTTATCTATCAACATGATAATAATTATAAAAATTCCAAGATATAGACGGCGGCCCACATGTTTCTCTGCGTGGGTGCACTGAACAAAAAAAGGATGTACATTACAATTTTTCATTAGAATATCAAATGATGTCAAATGTTTAATATCAGTAATATCAGAGTATATGACGTGTCTGGTTGACAGAAACCCGCCCGTAGCAGAAGCAAAAAGAAGAAGAGCGAACTTGAAGCTGCAGTTTATGGGTGTAGTACTGGGGTGAACTTTTCTAAGTATTGACCAGTTTCAATTAAATTTATAACAAAACTAGTTAAAGGCATATGGATTATGTGTGTTTGGTTTGTGTAGGTTTGAAAATGTGGACATTGTTTGCAAAATTCTGTAGCGGGGAGAGGGGAAGGAAAATCTAAAAAATAAAATAAACTCGTATAGACTAGGAATTACGCTCAGCCGTTTCCGAAATCCAAAAAAAAGAAATAAAACAAGTTATTAATTTTAAAAAAAATTTTAGTTTCAAAAAGATTACAGCCAAGCTGTGCGAAATATAAATTTGTAAATACTTGTCGATCTAGTTGGAAATGCGGTTTCAGATACAGCGAAAACTCTTTTAATAGACGCCCGCTTTTTATCCAGACACAAGAGATCTCTCTTAAGCGAACACCTTTTCTAAATCATTCGTTTGCTGCACTAAGTATTTAGGTATCCCCCTAAGCGGACACCCCCCTTGGGCGGAAACAAGTTGGACGACAAATACATTCAATTAATTTTAGTCTTATATAATAATTGCAGTTGGTAGTTTCCTTTTTGACCGACTTCAAAAAAAGGGTGAACCGATTTTGATGGTTCTTTTGTCCAGTTCCGACAATGTCATCTATCTGCAAACTACCTTAAACATATCTCATTTTGTCCAAATATCTGAAAATTATATTCCCGAACAGGATTCTGTTACTTCAGGAGCATTCTCGAAACATAAACTCACTTTTAATTACAAAACAAGAAAGGAATGCTAAAGTCGAGCGGGCTCAACTCTTAAATACCTTGCACCACCCCACAAAAAACAAAAAAGTAATAATAATAATTTTATAAAGTTAATTAAAACAAGAGAGAACGCTACAGTCGAGCAAGCCCGACAGTGTAATACCCTGTACCCAGGTAAACTTCCGTCACTGAGTTATATGCGCCCATAGCAGCAGCAAAAAGAGGAAGAAGAAGAGCGAACTTGTTGCTGCAGTTTGGGGGGGTTGCACTGGGGAGAATTTGTTTTGCTAATAACTTTTCTTAGAATTGATCGAATTGAATAAATTATGTGTGCAAAGTTTGGTTTAGGTAGCATTTGAAATGTGGACGCTATTGACGAAATTCTGTAGCGGGGGAAGGGGGGGAAAATTCCAAACAATAAAATAAACTCGTCCTTTCTCGGACCTAGGAGAATCTGGATGCCAACTTTGGTTATTCTAGCTTTTATAGTTTCTGAGATCCTCGCGTTCATCCAGACGGACGGACAGACGGACAGACGGACGGACGGACATGTCTAGATCGATTTCTCTCGTCATGCTGATCAAGAATATATATACTTTATGGGGTCGGAGATGCTTCCTTCTGTATGTTACATACTTTGCACAAACCTAATATACCCTTTTTACCCTACGGGTACAGGGTATAAAAATGTATTTAATTAAATATAATATATTTAACACATGCATACAGGCATATGTGTTTATGTACAATTTCAACAGCACACATTTACTTAAGAATCGTGTCTATGCATGCTTGTGTGCAGTAAAGAAATAAGTCAAAGCAGCAACAGCAGAGCTTGGGCTTCGGCAGAGGTTATGTTAATGGCTATAACTTTCTTCATAATTGACCTATCATGATGAAACTTGGCACACAGACACATAATCACTTTATGGATGTATTTGCCAAATCTGAGTAAATTCCAAGCAATGCAAATAAATAAAAAGCTTTTTTTTTTTTTTGGTTAAAATTTGTACTTGTTTCTTTAAGCTCGTGTAATTTTGTGAAAGCAATAGACATCTATTTTCTCTCAGTGCGTAATAGTGTGTGTGTCCGCTTTGTGTCTCAGTACTCGTAATGCGTTGAATGGCAGCGCATTATCCACACATTCCTGGTTCGCACTTGCTTGACTGTGCGCCGGAGGTGAAGCCCTAAATTTGCGGCCTGGCCGGCAATGGGGTGGAGGGGAGGGGGTAGGGGGGACGTTTATGTTGGCCACGTTGGCATGAGAATTATTTTGTTACATTTTTTCGAACGCTGCTTGCCATTGTCGTCCGCCAGAGTTTTCGTCTGAGTGTAGCTGTGGGTGTGTGGGTGCGAGTGTGGGTGCGAGTGTGGGTGCAAGTGGCTTCAAAGTAACATTGTTAAACCACACCACATGCAGACATACTTTGTGTTTGACCACATGGCATAATGAGCGTGTCCAACACAGACAGCTGGGCGGGCGTATGGGCGGTGCGTCTGCTGCTTCCACAGACGAGTACACATATGCTCGCCCATATGTGTGTGCAGGTGGGGGCGTGACCAACTGCCTGTCCAGGATGTTTGTGGTCGGCCAGCAACCGGCAGCAGGCAACGACCGTGATAGCAGCACAATACTTGCCCCATTTGCTTGCATTGTACTTAGGTGTAAAATTGAAATGTCCTTAATATGGCTTGTGGGCGCAGGTGGGCGAGCGTTTGTCCTAGAGGTGCGCGAGCGCACGAGCCCTGCTCTTGTTGTCCTACAAATAATATTCCCTCTGCTTGCAACTCCTTTTAACCGCAACCGAAGTGAAAGTTCGAAACATAATCCACCCACTAGCTCCACAAACACAATTCAAATTCAGCACTATAACAATTGGCCAACTTAAGTTTCCTTTAACTCAAAAACGTCAACTTAAGCATTTCAAATAAATATCAATCTTTATACAAAATTATGCTATATAAAGTTCAGAAAAGTAACAGTAAAATAAATTTCCTCTAGCGTTACAACTTCAGAGCCTTCCCTACGTCTTCTTTCATTTGAGAACTAAGAACAAAAATAATACGCGTAAATGATAATGAAAATATCAGAAATGCTTTTGTGTTGACGCGTGTTGACGTGGTGGTTTCCAAAATCTTGGAGCTCAGACAGACAAACAGACAGACGAGCGATTGAGCATATACCTATTTATTTTATATAACTTTTCTTCATATTTTAAGTTGCAAAAACTCTTGCGATTATTCGGATTTTCTTTGGCCTACAATTCAGAAAGTCTCCATTAAAATGGATCGCCTTTTTACCCTCAATTATCATTATATACTGGTAAATAAAAAGGAAAGTATGTATGTACATATGTTCCCTATAGACTCCGAAATTGCTCAAATTTTTTGGCAATATTCCATGTAGTCCCGTGGCTGATCCTGTGAAGTTTCAAGGCGATTTTTTTTATGGTTTTCTCATTTTTTTTGCAAGAATTTTGGTTTTTCATAAAAATTACTCCATCAATAAAAATTTTCCAGCCTGAAAGCGTTCGTTGCTCTGGCGATACATGTATATGTATATGTATCAAACTTTGTGATTTAGGATTAATTCTAAGTTACAAATGTTAAAATAAATAAATAATAAATAAATAGATTTTCTCAATTATTCTTCTATATTTTTTTTTTTTTTTTTGAATATGAAAAAAATGAGTTCAGTTCATAGGCCAATAAGAATATCTATTATGGCATAAAAACAATCATAAAATAGCAATGCATTATGCATGCAAAACAGATTAATCTAAGAAGAAGAAGAATGAAAGAAGAACTTTGAATCATTTAATACGGTACCCGCAGGAGAGGTGATAGTTTGTAACTTGTTATCAAACTTGTTGTCTTCTACTGCTGTACCTGAATATATACTTAAGGACTAGGGTTTTAATCCCTAAATTGTCGAATATTGAAAAGTCTGAGGGAACTCAACACGAAGTATTTAGAATGTTCTTTCTCCTAAAACACGTACCCAGTTTGCGTTTTCTGTGTGGACTCGTGATATTTTCACGCAGCAGCCTCCATCGCATGATGGTTTCGGTGATGGTGGGTGTCGTGGTGTTGTGGAGTACAAGACCTAACGGCACTTGTAGCCTGCTTTGAGGCGCAATTAACATGTACTCGATTGTGTTATTGCTTTTGATGTGTTGCAACTTTTCGAAATTACTTATGTGTTCATTGAAGTGTCGTTTACTTTGCCAGTGAGACCAAAGAGACCCAACTAAACAAGTCGATGCTCACACGCCTTCCTGTACATACGAGTACTACAATGCCAATTGAAAATAGTTTGTATTTCGCTTTCGGGCGAAACCCCTATGCTACGGTTCGACAATAATTTCCTACGCTATTTGCGACATTTTGCAGACCAACCCATATTTTCCGTCCAACGGATACCAGCTGGGCGTTGCCCAAAACTAAGTTTCGTGTTCCTCATCATCAGCTGCCCAGCAAGGCAACATTAGCAGCAATGCTCCTGCTCATGTCTGCCCCCCCAGTTTCACTTTTTCCTTTTGATCAGTTGCCACTGTGTGTTGCAATTTCACTTTCCATGCCACATGGCGCATAGCAACCGAGTCCGGCAGAAAAGAAAACTGAAATGGCGCACAGCCGCTATGCAGTTAGCAGACATACACTGAGAGAAGCACGTACCTCCTCTTCCCTACACAGGCTTTAAAAAATATATATTACAGAAGAATTAAACGCTTTAAACAAAAAATCAATGCCGAATTAATCATTGTTATGTTAGCTTTAATACTTAGTTTATTTTAAAATGTATGTTGGGCGAATTAGTAAGAACTAATAGGTTTTGGTTGAGTTCCAATATAGATTTGAACACAAACGTTTTCGTTACTAAAACTGAACGTTCCTATACACCGTATGAAGGCTTTATATAGATTATATACATTTTGATAAGACAAATCTATATGCGATGTTTGAGACTCCTAGCTACTATGATGGAAGAGTTCTCGTTGCTCATACTGACAGACTGAAGGACGAACTGACATACTCGAACATGCTTAAATATGCCTTAACAAGTGATATGTGATCGTAATTTTTTGTATTTCCAGACAATAATATCATTAGACATTCTTTAAAATCTTAAATCTAAAAATTTGTAATTAAAATCTTTGTAGAACAGTTCTTTCAAATTGAAGCTAAGACCTTGGCAAATACTTAATTATTTTTTTTGCAGGTTCTTGATTAATCAATAAATAAATATATATATATAAGTAGTATATTCGTTTCGCTCTACAAATTAAACTCAAATTCTTGAGTTCATCAGGTTTTTAAAAATATAATCACATTCTTCTCCAAACACGCAAAGATTCTGCTGCTTCTTTCGCCCAGTAATCTGAAACTGAAAATCCTGTGAAACGAATTTCTACTTTTACTTAAAACCATATCATTTATCTCCAGAACCGATCCATTTAAGGTGCTTTCATTTTAATATTCCCAATGTTTAAGTAATCTACATATGTCTTAGTTAATAATAAAATAGTTTTCTTTGGCCAATAGGAATTACATTGCAGGCCGATTCCTTGCATAAATATATTATTTTAAAAAGAAGAAGACGAATTACTTGTTCTTAATTTATGTTAAGATGTTATTGTGAAGATATTGAAATTGAATGATGGTGATGGTTGAGTCGAATTGGACCATACTACCACCAGTTTTGGAAAGAAGGATCACCAATTATGTTAATTATTTAATTCTTTTAATTCGTATTAGGCTACTAGCATATCATATTTGTTTCCCACCTCATATAGTATTTATATGTTACTTAAAAGCCGAAAGGCGAGATTGCAATTTGACCATCAACTATTCTCTGAGTGCATATACAGACGTATGTAAAGAATGTGTGTGTGTGTGTGTGTGTTTGTGTATTATGTACTCCCAATTGAGAATTGATGTTGCTGATGTGCCATGCCAAAGGGGCCCAATGTTTGGCTGACTGACAGACTCGGTCTGACTGAGTTGGCCATTTGTGTACTTTCGCTCTTTGTCCCGTTTTTGGGGGTTTGCTTTCGGTCTCATGTGCGCGTTTTGTGTGCGTTTTTGGCTTGGTCTCAAATGTCCCGGCGAGCAGCTCGCATTGCATAACAACAACAACAATAATAACAACAACGATAACAACAACAACACACAATACATTGCGCTTATATTTGTGTGTCCGAGGCCAGCACAGGATTAGTGAGCTACATTCTTCTTTTTTGTGATGACGATGGCAACGCGACCGCATTGTATTGTCCTCGCAATAGTTAATTAAGGGTTTCACATACAAAATGTCACCAACAACAGCAATAGTAATAACAACAACAACAACACCAAAAAGGAAGAGTGTGTGGAGGCCGTATATTGAACCAGAAATAAGCCAAACCCACCATTCCCACCTAGCCAAGGCAAGCCCGACCGGGGCTAGACGAGAACAAAAGTCCAGCCACGTTGCAGCAATGCTGTCAAGGCTACGACCCACACACCCACCCTGCAGCCTCCAGAGCTGAGCTGAGCAGCAGGGGCGTGCCACCCGCGGCGCGACAGCGTGGCCATAATTAGCTGCCGCTGCCGCCGCCGCGGCCTGAGACGGTGATTGCGGCACAACCGAAGCTAATTATCTTCACCTATCCGCGCACAGAGGAGCTGGCCCTGGCCCTGGCCGGAAGCCATGGTAACTGGACATTGCAGCGGTTCAAGCTGGTTCTGGCTGTTCTGTCTGCCAACTCCGGTACGGACATTGGTTAGCCTTGCGTACTACTTTCCGACCCATTCGAAACTGTCAATGCAACTTTTTGTTGCTCTCTCTCTCTCTCTCTCTCTCATTTCAAGCACACATTTCTTGTACTGACAATAGAGAACTTACATATATAAACAGAGATCTTACTATAAGTAAATAAAATAAACAACGCCATACTTGTATCTATTTTTCTTATTTCATAGTCCTCCACATTATAAATTAATGGATGTTATTTTAATAATAACAGTAAAATGAATCTATTTCTATATCTGTACTAATATTTTAAAGAGGAAAGATTTGATTGTTTGTATGTTTATTTGAAACTGGAAGCTACTGGACCGATTTAAAGGATTCCTTTACAGTTGGGAAACTACACTATCCCCGGGTGACATACTTGTATATATTACATGTATTTGCAAAAAAAAAAAAAAAAAAAAAATGGGGATCCTTACTGAAACGCCAATGTAACACAAGGTGTTAAAAATTATCTAAAATATTCCTGAACAGAATGCTGTTAGTTCAGAATCCTCCTCCAAAACATTATGTCTCTTTAAATATTACTCGGATCATTTATTCAGGGTAATTTACGATTTAATTTATCTCGAGGTAAATTCTACCTGATAATAAATATCTAAACAGTTTAGTGAATTAGTAATTCTTATAATTTGTCAATTCCATTTTTACATATAATATATAGGTAATTCTGATCAACAGTTAAGCAATAATTAAGTAAAACGAAGTTGAATTGGTAAATGGGAAATTCGACCTCCAAAGAGGGGAAAACAGGTTCCAAAGTTTCTATGAAGAATCGGAATTTTTCAACCGATGAAAAATGACATTATTTACAAAAAAACGTGAAATCGAATTGTTTGAGATTATTCTGTCAACCCAGTGAGAGCCAATATATTATATAAATATTTACATCGCGAAAATGTAATTTATTTAATTAATATTGTCTGTGATTTGTTTTGTGAATATTATTATTAGTAATGCCGTGACCAAGACGATTTAATTTTTCAATTGCAACGGTGCAACTAAAATTTTCGATATGATATATATATTTATATTATTAATCACTCCAAACTGCCTTACATTTATGAGTTGGGTCAAATTAATGAACTATGGAATTATTGAATTATCAATTCAGGGAAAAATCGAAAGGTAAAATTAGACAAAACTCTCTACTTACGGGCATATGTTTGGCAAAATATAACGAAGAACATGCACCACCTGAAAAACAAAAAGAAAACAATCACTATAAATCACATAACAACTCAATTCATATATTGTTTCCTTCTTCAATATTCAGCACAACGGATCAAAAAAACAATACATGAGTAGACTAACTGAGGTATACATCAGAGTACCTCGTTATCCTTACTGATCGATTCAATCACATATCATCTTTCAGAAAACGATATAGAGAGCTGTAGGTGCTATCTATCTATTTGTTTTTTCAAGATAGGGAAGAATTTTAATGTATATTAATGCTCTAACCATTCCAACTGTTATGCTGTTCATTTTGTAGAAGGAAATAAAAATGTACCGATTTATTGTTACTATGTATTCATTTTATATTTTTCCAAACGCTGTTTATTATTTTTTATTTCTTATTAACTAGACATGTTTTAATAATAATAATAATATGCTAGGTTTCGGTGCGAACATCAAAATTGGGATAAGCCCCGGCTGCTGTCGTTTCCTTTATCTCCGCCGACTTGGGCCACACGTAGCTCTCAATCCAGTCCACATAGGAGGAGACGCGCGTATATATACTTGGCGGACCGCTGGCGCAACCATGGCCCAAGGATGTGATGCCCACAACATACTTAAAGGGCCCATGGTCCATTAGTAGCGGTCCCCCCGAGTCACCTTGGCAAGTATCATGCGCATTGGCGGGATCACCGGCACACAAATGGGTTTCCGCCACTCCTTTGGGCAGCAAATCCTTTTGATAGTGCGGCTCACATTCGGCTTTGCTGACAAAGTTCAGCGGCACCTTCAGGAGCTGTGCTGAGGACACACCCGCTGTTCAAGTAGAAGTCAACATAAATGCGCATTGAAAATCCCAAACAATGACTACTAAGTTTAATTTATGGATTTATAAAAGTTGCTCAGCATTAAGTTATAAATTGTTTGTTTTTTTTTTTTTTTGAAGACAGCCTCCAAGTCAACTCATTCTTTGCAAATCTTTGTCTGAATTTTTTGAATTTTAGTTTAATTCTTTCATCACCAATATGCAATCATCATTTCAAATCAAATAGTTCAAGTTCAGTTGTGAGCTTAGAAATATGTTTGAAATATTGAAATGCAACGAAAAGATATGGTTTTTCTTACCAAATCGTGTCTGTCCGTAGCCAATGGCAGTAAGTTGATTGGTGACCAGATCGGGATTGGGCCAAATACAAGCTGGTGTTAGTTTAGGCGGCTGAATCGTGTCCAGCTCCAACAAGGCGATGTCATTGTAGGAAGATCTGCCATTATAGTTGGGATGTATGATCACGCGCTTGATCTTGAAATCTTCGCCAATGTTGAGTGTCAAATTATCTCCACCCAGACGCACTGTAGCGGGCAATGCACTACGAACAGCAAACAAACAATCCAACACATTAGAAGTAAAATTTCGTTGGAGAAGGGGGGTTTCCAGCTCTTACCCTCCAAAGTCGATGCAGTGGGCAGCCGTTAGTACAAAACTATTGGAGATAAGTGCGCCGCCGCAGCGATAGAAAATGCTTTCGTCGAAATTTGAACGCCAGCCGAGGGCAGCCATGTAGGGGAACTCCCGATAGGTCGTTGGTTTTCCGCCATATACCACGGTATGAAAGGCGATATCCGTAACATTGATTGGCGCAGGATTATATGGCTTATAGCAGGCTAAATATGTGCCAGAGAGAGATGAGTCTTGATTGATGAAAATTATGCCATTTCGGAATGGGTGTACCTAATAAACTGGGTCGCGTATTGTTGGGGACTAAGTGGAAATCAATGAAATCCGGCGTCGTTGGCAGTTTAGGTGTTGGCCTTGGTGGTTCATCGAGTTCCTGCTTACAGCAGACATAATGATCGAATTTGATAAAGTGACACGTTTTCGGTTCCACTCTATCCTTTTTCCAACGCTCTAGCGCTGTGGGACAATCCTGTATCTTTTTGCATTTGCCCGGCAAACTCTGCTCCTTATCCAGAAAGCAATCATCGTAGTTTTCCTTCGGATAAGTAATGGAGCGTTCCGACTGGCAAACTGCAACATACAGTTTTAAAAACAGAAAAAAGAGGAATGTCGATATACGCGGAATGGAATGAATCCGAAGGTGAAAATACAGCACCTGTGCCAACTGACAGCAGCACGAGCAACAACAACAACAACTTAAGCGATGGACAGCTTTTCCGACTGCCTGTCATTTTTTTTATTCCAAATATGCTTTTCCAACGGCTTTCCTTCTGGATAATGCGTTGCGATGCGACTGCTGTGCGGCAAGTTTGTCAGCCAACTGATCGCCAAGCGCCTCGTTGAGTGTAGTTCGTGTGGACTCTGGCTTCTGTTTCTATTATTCGCGCACATGTTCGCACTTAAAAACCAACCGAACAACTTTAGCAGGCTCCCTCCCAAGGCATCATTAGCGTATCTGTTTTATGAGATGACGCATATATTCGGGCAATTCTCTCAAAGTCAGTGACGCGTCGATCGGCATGCGCCAAAAACAAGTCACTTGGATGGGCGTCCCGGTACCGGTTAGCGAACGGGGGAAACACCCGTACACCCGTACCATCATCGATAACAAGCTCAATGCACGAATCGCTGCTGCCATTGAACTTCAATGAGCACACTCAATACTCTGCTGCGCACTATGGTTTTTTTCCCCTTTTTTTTGGCAGAAATTCCAAAAAAAAATGTTGACCAAATATAAAAAATTTTATTATAAATTGCTTAATTAAGCGAAAATTAAATTAATTCCTGCTGATATGGCAACACCATTTTCTTGGCGCGCAGTCAAAGCTACCTGATTGTGTGAAACACAAGTATTTGTGATTTTGGTAGCAATTTTTGGTAGACTTTCAGAGCTTGCAGAATTACGAAAAGAACCCACAAAAGTTAAGTTAATAATGGAAAACGTTAATCAAGGTATGTAAAATTATAATCCAAAACTGTTTTTAATATCGGTAAAAGTAAAATCCTTCTCCAATTATATTAAAAAACACATGCCAAGTTGTAATCAAACTTTAAAGCGATTCAAAAACAAGAAAGGAATGCTAAAGTCGAGCAGGCTCAACTCTTAAATACCCTGTACCACCCCACAAAAAAGTAATTAAATTAATTAATTAATTTAATTTAATTAATTAACTAAATTAATTTAATACATACATTTACATTTACATCAGAATCGTGCCTTATGCGTATTTGTGTACTTGTACATATGTATGTATGTGTGCATTGGGCCTGGTTATATGGCTATAACTTTCTTTCCGATCATTCTATCATAATGAGACTTGGTATACGGTTATATAATAACTAACCTAATGTGACTACCAAATTAGTTCAAAATTCCAAGAACTACGGGAGTTATAGAAAATCGTTAATAGGGGGGGAGTGGGGGGGTGGATCAGAAAAAATGAACAAACTCGTCCTTTCTCGGTCTCAGGAGAATCTGTATACCAAGTTTGGTTATTCTAGCTCTTATACTTTCGGAGATCCTTGCGTTCATACAGAAAGACAGACGGACAGACGGTCAGACGGACAGACAGACGGTCAGACGGACAGACAGACGGTCAGACGGACAGACGGACATGGCTATATCGACTCGGCTTGTCATGCTGATCAAGAATATATATACTTTGTGGGGTCTACCAAGCCTCCTTCTGTGTGTTCCATGTGCACTGGCAAAAACTTATTTCCCAAAATCGCGGCCTTGTACTCATCTACAATGTAGAAGGAAGCGTTTGTCCAACCCCTGTGTTTTTAAATTCTTTCATAGATTACACAAACCAAGTATAGTGTCAATCGAATAAAAATTGCAAATTTTTCATACAATCCTCGGAGCCCATTTGCTCCCCTTTGGTGTTCGAATTTTCAAAACCGCATTGTTTGTTATTTGTTTTTGCAGTTTTTTTATTATCTTTTTTTATATAGATTATTAAAAACAAATTGAAGCTGATCGGTGGAAAAATTAAGATATTTCAAACAAACTTTGGAGTCTGGTTCCCCCTTTGGAGCACTAATTTTCCAAAACCACCATCACCCACCCTCAATTTGAAAGGGTACCTGAGTCCAAATTTCAGATTCCTAGCTCTTGCCGCTCTTGATCACCAATTAATCAGTCAGTCAGTCATTCAGTCAGTAAGTCAGTCAGTCAGGAAAAACTGTTTTATATATATTTTGTATACATAGATAGTATTAATGAACTGCCTTTTTGCCTATATATAATTCTATCACACTATAAAGTCCACACCATGATAGAACGACATATACTCGTATATGTATGTATATAAGTATGCTCTTTTATCCGTCTGTATGAACATCGATAACTTTTGAATCATAGCAGCACGGTAAGTTTATCACAACTCCTTTTAACCATGATTATTTTCTATAGCTGGCATAGGAACGATTGCTTTCAAATAACTCTTAGTATCAAAAACTCTGTTATTTAAAACGATATCGCAACCAAACTTTCTATTTGTGAGTTTTTTATGGTGTCTCAACATAATCTGAAGTTTATTCCAAATCGTTGCACAGAATAGAATATGCCTGTTATATAAACAATGGTAAGAAAACATGCCTCATAATATTCTAAAATGCCTAAGATCGGCGAACTACTAAGTATTATATCTTAAAGCAGAAAAAGAAACGTTCAAAGGTCACTTTTTGTGTAAAAAGAAGACTCTTTCGTTCAACATTTGAATAACGTCTAACAATAATCTGAGATGTTAGATCAAAATATGTCCACTTTACTTGTATACCTGCCCTAGAAACTCTTACAATAACGTTATTTTAAGTTGTAGGACTGTAGGACACGAGTCAGAACCGTAAAGCAGATAATAATCTATAAACAGGTAGACTTTGGATCTTTGAAATATTAGCACAAGCATCGAAATATTTCATTAGTTGCTTGATTGAAAATATTGGTAAGCCGGATTCGAAATCAGAATCATTTAAACGCCTACCTTAATATCAAGCATGGCTCCCTCTATGCTCTTGGAATCATTTAGTTGTAATCTTGACAGGCGGCACAGGGCCGGAAACTTTTAAAAACGCACACATACCAGCAAATTTAATTAAATCAGATCCAATGCACTGTGCAAAAAGAAGTTGAAGCTGAAGAAGGAGAGGGAGAGAAAGAGGAAGGAGAAACAACAACGCAACAGGAAACAGCACATAATAATTTTTGGCAATGACCGAGTCAGCAAGCGAGCAGCGGACATCGGACATTGGACATCGAGCGACCCATTTACGCATAACGTGGCAAATGCTTTAAAACAAAGACAAGGGACGCTGAGGATGAGGACGCTGGCAAGGGAGGGGCCGACCTGGATAGGACTGGGCAGGAACACAGACAGACCACTGGGTACTCGGCACGGGGGAAGCGCGTGCGAGCTGTTTGTACAAATCGGATGACCACCAACCGAGCGCGCCAGCCAAATGGACAATGGGACGGCCACGCGACAGCCAAAAGGTCAACAGACAAATAAACAGCGCTCGTGCACAACTTCGAGTCGAATGATGAGGGTCGCTCGACGAGGTCAGCTAGTTGGCGGCAATTCTCATTACTTTTGCGGGCCGGCCCAGGAAACAAATCAAACGAAACGCTGAAAATTCGCATAGTTTTTAATTTTGCGGTTCACATTGACAGCGGAAGTCCAAACATAACGAGGGTGGGCCCCAAGGCATTAAATATTTGACAAAATTCGGGGTTGCTGGCCATCCACTAAAGGTCAACTGTTAGATATGCCCATTTATTCAATTAATGGTACGGCTTTAAAGTCTATCAATAACATTTTCTCAACCTGTTGGGGGTTGTACGGACTTTAAATGTGTCTATATTAGATGTTTGTATAATGCCTATAATATTTCGCCATCTCTAATAGTAGCTTCCATTTAAGATATTCAGCTTTTTTTTATTTGTTCATAAAATTAGGAAAACTTTAACATAAGTTTCTTTAAATATGTTTTAGAAAATTTCAAATATGCCATTTCAATTTATAACATAATTGCACCTTTCTCGCTTCGCCTTCGGTTCAAGTTAAAAAAAAAATATACAAGAATGTTCAGCTTCTCGGAGACAGTTCGTCTTCGGAAATAAAAGTGTATTTATACATTTTACAAATATTTATTTAATATAATATGCACTTTAATTTGCAGGAATTTATACAAATCGAATCCTATTTATGCCTGGTTCTTAGCATCTTTGTTTTTCAATTAATTAGTCGCCATTAAATACTGAGCACATCCTAACCTATAACTGCGTAGTCTGAGGCTCCTGAAAGTGACGGCTTGTTTTATAAACTATTTTTAGAGGCTTTTATAGCTATTTATAGCGGTGTTTCTAGCTATTTTCTAGCGGGGTTGCTATCTATTTTTAGTGGGGTTTCTAGACATTCTCTAGCTGCTCAACATTGTTTTTCTTGCTATTTTATAGCGGACTTTTTATCTTCCATAGCGGGTTTTAAGCCATTTTCTAGCTCTATAACCAAAAGTGATAACCATTTTATAGCCATTCTTTTCAAGACATAGCCAACAATCATTGATGAATAATTATTAAGGCTCCATCCTTAACAATCTAGAAAAAAATTAACTAAAATTAAATCATTCCAATACAATACATTAGATTTCACTTCACACACAAATTATTTATTTTCATTTATCATTCTTTACTTTTTCTCAAAACTCACCAAGCTCTGACTTTTAATTCAGGAAGCTGTCTTAACATCAACTAGCCTACACAACCCAGAATTCAGTCTACAACACACTCTCTACCGAGAAGGGTCACAAAAATACAAAATTAATCTTTAAAAAAAAAGTGGAAAAAGTGAAAAAAAAATTAAAAAGTGAAACGTTAAAAAAAAAGTTGGCCGTTTATTCAATTTCAGGGGTAGGCCATACCAAGAGTATAGCAGGACTCATGTCTATCCCTCAGAAGCTGCTTGAACTTATTAATCAAATAATCAAAGTAAGCTATGAAATTTCTGACAGGTGAGTAGAATATAAACTATTTTGAAAAAAAGTAAGCAAACAACACACACAATCGCAAATAGGGAAGCCAATATGAAACTATTACGCTGCTAGTCTGAGGCAGAGCCAAAGAGTTCTATGAAGGAAACATATACGGAGGCAACATTTCCGGTAATTGCGAAGACTGTTTTAGCTTGCGAGTAGCACGTCAAGAAGCTTGACAGTTTCCTTCTCGAGATGAGAAGAGATGAGATGCTAAGATGAGATGATGGACTATGAAAGATTGACGGGATTTTTGTCGCAATCTAACACAACTCCAATTCAAATTTTGACTTCTGGTAGGTGGGATTAAAAGCCACATATGTTTCATTGATGCACAGTTTCTTTTTAAAGAATTCAAGATCTTACGTAAACATTCTAAGAAGACCTCAAGACATTTGACTTATCACATGTCGAATTGGGAGTCAAAAGGTGGAAAGTAGGAAGAATGTGACAATAACGTTACTAACTACCCATGTTTCTATTTTATGTATCATCGAACAGCAGCTTGCCTGTCCTGTATGATCCGAGATCCGAGAAGACTTGAAGCAGATTGAGAAAAGCGTGAGAGAAATCAGGAGCTAGAAGAAGGAAGCCATCAACGAGCTGGAAACGGAACAGCAGTGGTTTTGGTGAAAAAGACAAGTCAGAGTTAATTATGGAAGACTTTCGACATGTAGCAGTCCTCAAAAGCCAAGGAGGAGGTGGAGGCTTTAGTTATCTTGAGATTCTGGATATATGTTCCAACAATTGGAGACATAAGTAAACTTTAGATTCTGGATATATGCTCCAAAGAGACGCATACAAGGGCTTGAGAGCTGTGTAGATATGTGGTTCGGTAAGAAGTCGGTAAACGTTTATATAAATCTGCTGCTGTGAAGGGCAAGTAGCCGAAAAGTCTATTTTTGCTTCGTAGCAAGATCATGATAGAGTGAAGCGATGCTGCACGATGAAGCTGTGGATTGAGATTTTGCCAGCTGAAGAAATTGGTTGCACATGGCGGGGACAATTACGAGAAGTGTCCAAGATCGTGTGGTTTTTTGTTCTTCCCTCGTCTTCAGCGACCATCGGGGGCCACAAGTCGCTCAGTGTAACTGCTTCGGGAATCCCAGCGATCCTGGTGTCGGTTATTTGTTTGGGCGAGCTGAACTCAGGTACTTCAAGTAGTGTCTTGACCTGCCGCGCACATCCTGTCTTGGAGAATGAGTTCGTGTTCTTTGCCAAGCGCCAATTGATCGCGCTCTTCTTGGAAATCAACTGTTGCGAGATGAACGACAATGCAGGGCCGCATTGGGAGTTCCACAACATCTGGGTATTTGCCATACGAGTGCTGCATTCATATTCGTGGTGAAAGGTAAAGGAATGAACAGACAATTGTGGCTTTTGGGTCGGATTTTGGAGAGGGTCTCCAGAAGCCAACCCAAAGATATGGTTTGTAATATTTACTATATACCACTGCTGCTGTCCTCAAGAATGCAACACTTGCCTGGCAATACTAATCAAGATATGAGTCAACTGTTGAAGTTGCATCTGCATTGTCGTGCACCTCGTACTAGTTGGGTGCCAAGAAGAATGTGATCAGTTGCCGCTTGGCAAAGAACATGAACGCTTCCTGCAAGACCTGGTGCCAGCAACGCCAACCCGAATGAATCATCAGAAAGTATCTGTGGACGTCTCGCCCAAGCAGGTAACCCACACCAAGATCCTTGGGACTTGCGATGAAGTTACACTGAGGTGGATTGGGGGAACTGTGGTTGATGGTTAAGTTTCAATTCGTACCCAATCCTTCTTGACAGCCAAATAGGCGGCTCGCGATCTACGGCGCCATTGGCAAACAATTGCTGAAGCTCACGGAATTATTCCACAACCTCATCGTGCAGCGCTGTTTGGCTCAATGAAAGGCGTAGGATACGATTAATGATCTGTGGTTCGCGTAACTAAGACGCAGCAAACACAGATTATTAGGTTGCTTGGGCTTTAACGGCAACAGCATTATATATATGTTTATTGTCTTCCTGCCATCAACGTGATTGCTCAGAGACGTCTACTCTGTTTTCGAAACCAAACCTGTCTCCTGCTAGTGCAAAGCCCCAAACAAAATTTAAACTAAGACTGGATGACCGACATCGACTTGGATGCCCTCAGTTGTCATTGGCAAGGAAATTATTGAAAAACAAAGACTAGGCGAGGTGTTTACAGCCCCATTTGGCATGAATAATAAAAATTAACTGTTGCAAGAAATTTAAGTGTTTTAAGTCATTTTAATAAAAAATTTATGAAATTTGTAACTTTTCAAATCAATATTATTTATATTATTTATATATACACAGCTAAAAGGTAATTAAAATTATAGACAAGCTGTGCCAGTTCGAGCTATAGCGACGTAAAATAAAAATAAAAATCAAATTGAAATAATATGAATTATTAGAATGAATCCATTCAGCTGTTTACAGAAGGAAATGGATGAATGAACATATTGTGTGTATAATTCGATGAATTCGATTTGATGCTTTAAGAAACTGAACGAGTATTTTAAAGTAATCTTTAGAAATGAAATAAATGCATGCATGAAATTATTAAAAGACTTTTGAATAGGATAGGAAATAAACAGTCCCCTTGCTGCCACGTTCTAGGTCCACAAAAAAAATAATTTTAACTTATCCTTATCTAAGTGTCTGTTTTCGTTACTCCCTTAAATATTTGAAAACAGATTCTTGAATTTTTGTTTTAAAAACTTATCTCAATTATAAGTGAAATAATGAAAATAATTCATTTTACAGCTCCAACAATATAAAATATGATAAGATACGGAATTAGAATTGTAGGAATGTAGTTTTGGGACTTTAGTATTATAACGGATCCCATACCATCATTACAGTGTTATACATGTTTTCACGATTCCTGACTGGTTTAACCCTTAAGGAGGAGCGCCAATAATGAGTATTGTATTATTTTAAAGCGAAAAAATCATTCACTTATAGCATTTAGCTTTGAGAGCGTGAGAATTGTAAAATAGGAATATTCACCTTCATTTAAAAACAAATTAAACAAAAATAAACTCGTCCTTTCTCGGACCTAGGAGAATCTGGATGCCAACTTTGGTTATTCTAGCTTTTATAGTTTCTGAGATCCTTGCGTTCATCCAGACGGACAGACGGACGGACGGACGGACATGTCTAGATCAATTTCTCTCGTCATGCTGGTTCAGAATATACATATGTATATACTTTATGGGGTTGGAGATGCTTCCTTCTGCATGTTACATACTTTGCACAAACCTAATATACCCTTTTTACCATACAGGTACAGGGTAAAAGCTCTGATTTCGGCAACGTCTGCCGTAATTAATTTTTTTTAATGAAAATATTTTCTTAGCCAAAAACTGTACTATAGGAGTTCGTTTCGGCTACTTGAGTTTTATTTTGGATAAGAAAAATACGACTTGTAGAATAATCATTATTTTATGAGTTTTATATTTTTAATAATGATTATTGGTTGAGTTGTAAGGTAAAACTCAAAGTTAATCATTAAATTGTAGGAGAATCATTATTTTGTCATTTTTATAACAACACTTATAATGATTGCAGTCCCTGGGTTTTCGCTTAAAGTTCAGTTGCAGTTCAGTTGTTTGTAACATCGATCTATAAAGTCAACATTTTGTGGCATTGCACAAATGAAAGAAAAATCAACTTATAAAGCGCATGCTTAAAAAGCAATTTATTATTGTTCCGTACAATTTCATTCTTGGTCTCGATCTCTGATGACGGACCAACACACCGGCTGTATTCAGTATTCAGTTTTTTGGGAGCCATTGTGTGTCGTGTGTTCAGCACGAAAACAATAATTTATCATTTCTTTTTCAATGGCGTATGGTGTTTTATCTGCTTACATCATTAGTCAGTCCAAGAGTGCAATGCAATGCGATGCGATGCAATGGGATGCAATGGGATGCGATGTGATGCGATGCGATGCGATGGGTACCGATGCCCAGACAAAACCTGTCAGTCAATTGCGCTTTGTGGCTTTGTGCCCGCTTTTCAACGGTTTTCAGGAACACAACCGTGGCCGTGCATTGAAATGGAGCGAGGGCCGTAACGCTGCCATTGATGGTGCTACGGGGTGGGGACAGACTTTGAGAAATCGTTATGCCTTTAATTGCTTATAGAGTTATTAACAATTTTATAATCATTAGTCTGCGATCGGATCTTGTAATTTGAGAAAAATTTGTCTTTAGGCCTACACAGCCACAAGAACAACAACAACAACAACAACCAGTTGATCCACAAAATGTTGGCGATGCTGGTTCCAACTACCTCATCCAATCGATGCAGGTGCGTGCAGTGTAAGTTGAGCTCTAACCCAGCACAAAATCGAAAGCCAGGCAACGATTTGTTTCTCAAACTTCTAAGACCACCCGTAGCGACTAGAGAGCAGTTCCTCCATTTTTTTGTAATTTACTTAATAAGTAGTATAGAAGGAGGGCATTATCACTACATCGACATTCTTCTGTCACATCTAAGCATAGTTTAAGATTTAAGTTATTCATTTATTCCCTTAATGACAAGTTTTATTTCGCAAAAAAAGAAATTAATCAACTTCAGCGAATTCTATAACATTTTTCAAGTTGATACTGAATATTAAAAACCCATGTTTGTAAAATATATTTATTTATTTTCACATTATTTGCCTTTCAAGTACTTTTCTTGAGTCATAATTAGCCATCATGTGAATATCCCATCCGCCTTGTTACCTTTTCTTCATTGTTTTTATATCTTGATGGAAGCGTTTTTCTTATTCTTCACTAAGATCTCCTTAATCATTTCTATATGGATATGGAGGTAGTGCACTTTTATGCTCATACTGCAACCTACATTTTTGAAGTTTTGAAGCATATCCTCTATATAGTTATCTATGATAATCAGCATGACGAGAAAAATCAATATAATATATCCTTCGGTACGTCTGTATGAACGCCGAATTCTTTTGAACCCAAACAGCTAGGGACGCCAACTTCGGTAGGTAGACTTGTCTGATGCATTTGCAAATCAAGTTTATTCAAAACTTTGTATAAATGGCCTATATTTTTAATAGCTTTCATAGAAACGATCGGTGCAAAATTCACTCTTGCTACAATCAATTTTCTGTTTTAAAAAATATATTGAGAAGATTTTGTATTTATGCGTTTTGTACAGTACCGAAGCGTATTATCAAAAACTTTTCTATTTATTTTGATAACAGGTCTCTCTCTCTCTCTCTCTCCAAACTTGTATCAAAATCTATGCACTATATCATATATGTAGCTGTATTATGATGATGACTGGTACAATAAAATGTATTTCAGTCATTCAATGGGGAAAATGTTGGCTACAGGATTTTCAAGCGTTGGACTCGCACGACTTTAATGTTCTGCTATCTATATAATTGGGTAAGAATATTTTTGTTTGGTTCGATTTCCAATGAGGTACAGTTTCCCGATTTACCCATAATTGTGCCTACAAAACTAGGGCATTTAAGTGTAAATATGCTCCTGTTCGAAATCCTATTCCGAATTATTCGAAAATGAAAACTTCATTTGATTTTGTCGAACTTAATTAATGTAGTGAAAGCTCGCTTAGTGAGTGTACGGCCAAGAAAGTTTTTACTGTATTTCGTATTTATTTTCTAATGCATCTTTCAATCGTTGGAATTCATCACTTACATTATAGTTCCAAAATCTTATTGGTAGATCAAGCGACTTACCCCTTCGCATTGATTTTCGAAATTCTCATTTGCATTTGATTCTGGAAAACCCTATTTGGCGACTCTAATATTCTAGGCTAGTGTAGCAAATACTAGAATTCATTCAGTATGTGTAAAACTTTGATTTTAGGGTTAATTTTGTGCTTCTTCTTGGCTTTGATTGGGATTTCTGCCCCGATCCGCGTCACGCACTAAGCGCTATCTCCATTTAATTTCACACACGCTTGCACAGCACACGCACAACACATCAAGCATTACACACACACACACACACAGAGACAGACACACACATGTACAGGCAGGCAGGCAGTATGGAACACAGTTAGAGTTCAAAGCCATTAGCAAATTAAGCACGGAAATGCGTGTGGGTGTGAATCCAAGATAAAGATAGAATTGCATTGTATTTTGGCGATGGCAGCGATAAGCTAACGGGAAGCTGATGGCATACAGATCTAATAGAGATGTGCGTGAGCTGGCGCGTGATTTGTGTCTCTCTTCGATATAAATCGATCGATCTATGCAGCACTCTTTCGAATATTCTTAGGAGAAATGTAATCCCGCAAAAAAATGGCTAAAGTTTAACAAAAAAAAATTAACAAAAATTAAAAAAAATTTTTTAAAATGTTTAACAAATATTTACAAATTATAAAATAATAATAAAAAACATTTTGCAAAATATTCAAAAAAAAATACAAAAAGAAATTAAACAAATTAAGTGAATGCAATAGCAATCTTTTGAATTCTGAAAACATAAACACCATTCTAAGTATGCCACCGATATTTGTTTCGCTAATTTAGTTCCTTAAACAATTAGCTCAGCTTTTTTGGCAAGTACTCGTATAATATCTAATAATTTGGTCAACATTTTTGAAACACATATAAGCTTTTAAAAGTAAAAGAACTGATTCTATTTAAGGTTAAAAATAAAGGATATTGAATTGACTTTTTAGAGATTCGTGTATTAAGCCGCTGTAATAATGGATCAAAAATTATTTTATTTCTAAGACTATATTCTATCCAACTCAACGACCTGCCTTGAAAAAATATCAATTGATTCCAAATGCTAAGGTAGGTAGCGTGCGTGATGCAAAATTCATAGTATGGTGACAAAGGACAGCGTGATCGTGAAAGTGTATATCCTATTGTGTCACGCGCCCATCGCTTCGCACGCACATACTCACATGCAGAGAAACTCGTGCGCTCATCAATTCAAATGTATGGAAAATCGGTTTACGCTTTACAAAAATGGAAATAAAATTAACACACTTCAAATCGGCGATGGCTATAGCAATGGTGATGGTGATGGCGATGGCGATGGCCATGGTTCTGCCAACGGCCAACCGACGAGAACAATAAATAAAGCGTAGCGAAAGTGCGACACGAACGAGAAAATAACAATGTTATAAATCACTTATTGCTAAACGAGGGGGTGGGGCGAGGGGTGAGACATTTGTGATGGTGATGTTGCAGCCGTTGATAAATTGCCAGGCAGCAGCAACAACAACAACAACAAATGCAGCCACAATAGATGTGTATCTGTATCTGTATCTGATAGATACGCA